CTGAGCCTGGGGGTGCTACGCCTGGAGGTGCTGAGCCTGGGGGTGCGGAGCCTGAGGGAGCTGGGCCTGCTCGTGTGGCGTCTGGCGGTGCTGAGCCTGGAGGTTCTCCGGGTGCTTCGTCTCGGCGGGAGCCACTCTCTCCACAGGAGCTGCGCGAGTGGTTTGCCCGGCGCTGGAGGCGTGCTGCTGGAGCTGGAGGTTCTTCGGCTGCTGAGGGTGCTGGTGCCGCGGGTCCCGGAGGTGCTCGTACTGGGAGTACTGGAGCTGCTGGGCCTGCGGGTACGACTGGAGCTGGAGCTGCTGAGGGTGTTGGCGCTGAGGCTACTGCTGTCGGTCCTGGAGGCGGTCCTACTGGGGGTGCTACTGGTGCTGCTGGAGGTACTGGAGCTGGAGGTGCTGCTGGCGCTGGTTCTGCCGCTTGGGGTACTGGTGCTGTCCCTGCTGTATCTGGAGTCGCCGCGCGGCCTCGGCCGTACTTCGTTCCGCTCCTTCAGCAGGTTCTTGGTCTCCCGCCTTCTACTGGTCCTCCTCCTCCCTTAGAGTGTCCACAGCCTGTCCCGTCACAGTTACAGTTACAGCCGGCCTCCCCACTGCCCGCTCCTTCTCCCTACACTGGTCCTACTGGAGGTCTTACTGAGCGTCGTGAGCATGCGTCTCGCCCTGCGTCGCCTGTCCGTGCTGCTCGCACTAGGGGTCGTGGTTCGCGTCAACGTCCTCCTCCTGTCCCTGGCACGCACCGGATGTCTCTGCGTCCGTCCACTGCTCCTCTGCGTGCCCCTTTGCCTTCTCCTCCTGAGTCCTCTCTTCCTGCTCTTCCTGACCCGGAGTCGGACTCCCTTCGTGCTGCCAGTCCGATTGTCACGCGTCTCCTTGCTACTGTTGTCACTGACCCTCCCTTTGAGTCCACTGCTGCGTCTGCCCTAGTTGTTGAGCTTGTCGACTTTGCTGCTCGTTGTCGTCTAGACTACGCTGCTAGTCTTGTTGCTGAGTCTGAGTCTGTCTGTCCTCCGTCCGTCGGGGGTGAGTGTGCCCTTGGCACGGACGTCTTTGAGGACAGGCAGGAGGAGTTCCAGTGTTTGGCTGCTGCTTCACCTCATCTCGTGTCCGTACTGCTTACCCCTGAGGGAGACCCGGATGCACTTGAAATCCCGACTCCGCGCTCTTACGCGGAGGCGATAGAGGGTCCTTACTCCTCTCAGTGGCAGGCAGCTATGGACGCAGAGATGGCTTCCTGGAAGTCCACAGGCACCTACGTTGACGAGGTTCCCCCGCCTGGGGCGAACATCGTCAGTGGCATGTGGATTTTCAGGGTGAAGCGGCCGCCGGGTTCTCCGCCTGTCTTCAAGGCGCGTTACGTGGCTCGTGGCTTCAGTCAGCGGCAGGGAGTTGACTACTTTCAGACCTTCTCTCCCACCCCGAAGATGACCACTCTTCGGGTACTGCTGCACATAGCTGCTCACCGCGACTACGAGCTGCACTCTCTTGACTTCAGCACTGCTTTCTTGCAGGGCAGCCTGCACGAGGAGATCTGGCTGCGTCGCCCACCTGGCTTCACTGGGTCCTTTCCTCCTGGCACCCAGTGGAGCCTCCGGCGACCAGTCTACGGTCTCCGCCAGGCACCGCGTGAGTGGCACGACACACTGAGGACTACACTTGCGGCTCTTGGGTTTGCTCCCTCTACTGCCGACCCGTCGCTGTTTCTGCGCACCGACACTTCTTTGCCGCCGTTCTACATCCTCGTGTACGTCGACGACTTGGTCTTCGCCACAGCTGACACTGCTGGACTCGCCCACGTGAAGTCCGAGCTGCAGAAGAGACACACGTGCACAGACCTGGGTGAACTGCGCAGCTACCTTGGCTTGCAGATCACCCGGGACAGAGCACGCCGCACCATTACCCTGACTCAGTCACACATGGTGCAGCAGGTCCTTCAGCGCTTCGGCTTCACGTACTCCTCGCCTCAGGCCACTCCTCTGCCTACTCGCCACTCGCTCTCAGCTCTGCCTTCGGATGAGTCCGTAGAGTCGAGTGGCCCGTACCCAGAGCTTGTTGGCTGCCTCATGTACCTGATGACCTGCACACGACCTGACCTTGCATACCCTCTTAGCATTCTTGCACGCTATGTTGCTCCTGGGAGACACAGACCGGAGCACATGGCTGCAGCGAAGAGGGTGTTGCGCTACTTGTGCAGTACGTCGGGCATGGGGCTTGTGCTTGGAGGGCAGAGTCCAGTGGTCCTCACTGGGCACGCAGACGCTTCTTGGGCTGACGACCAGGCTACGCAGCGGTCGTCACAGGGTTACACCTTCAGCCTTGGTTCCGGCTCTGTTTCGTGGCGGGCTACCTGCTCGTCTTCTGTTCTCGGCTCCAGTTGTGAGGCTGAGATCTACGCCGGGGCCATGGCTGCAGAGGAGCTTCGCTGGCTCACCTACCTGCTCACTGACCGCGGAGAGCCGCCTCGTTCTCCTCCAGTGCTGTACGTAGACAACAAGGCCATGCTGGCCTTGTGTCGAGAGCAGAGACTGGAGCACAGAACGAAGCACATTGCTCTCCGCTACTTCCTTGCTCGTGAGCTACAGCAGCGTGGTCAGCTACGGCTTGCGTACGTGGCCTCTGAGGCTAACACTGCTGATATCTTCACCAAGGCACTTCCGCCTTGTGATCATCAGCGCTTCTGTACTCAGCTGGGTCTTGTGCCTACCTTGCCTCACTTGCTCACCCCTTGACCTTGCTTGTACTGTTGCATATATATATACACCTGCTCTTGCTTGTCTAGCCTTATATATATATGCAATCCTGCATGTGAACTGGCCTTGTGGCCTTGAACTTGTGCTCGGAATGTGTGGTGACTTTGTGATCCACCCTGAGCTTGTTCTGCTTTGCTTGACTGGTCTTGTGACCCCTTGTTCTCCCCCACTTTGCCTATGGGGGTGTGTCAGATTTATATGACATAGCTACTGTAGGCTATAGTGGGGTAGCACATATGGGGTACAGTTTTCTAGGTTTTGCTTTTGTACCCAACTTTCCTTTAGTCACTCCATTCCTCGTTTCTTCTCAGATTTGACCAAACTCACGGGGTAGACTACACGCTAACCTTCGCCCCGGTCAGCCAACACACAAGTGTTCGTCTCGTCATCTGCGAAGCAGCTGCGAAGAATTTTCCGCTTCGACAAATTGACGTCTCCAACGCTTTTCTATACGCTGACGTCGATGCTGAAATCTACGTCGAATATCCACATACCTATCCGACAAATCCGCCAAGTGTCTGCAAACTCAAGAAATCACTGTACGGCATCAAACAAGCTCCGCGACTGTGGCAGCAGCATTTGAACAGGAAACTTACAGAGGTTGGATTCCGACAACTGCCGCATGACCCCGGAATGTATCGACTAGACGACAAGGGGAGCTACACGCTACTTGTGGCTTACGTGGATGATATTCTCTATGTAAGTTCTTCGACTTCCTTGGGTGATCGCATCGAAGCAGATCTGAAGAAGTCCCTCGACTTAACTGTCGCCACCGAAGTAACCCAATTTCTTGTGTTAAACATTTCGCGAACTTCCTCCGCCATCCACCTCACAGCATCGAAGTATGCTGAGTCACTCGCTAAGCATTTCAAGATTCCTACAAATTACGTCGCTACACCGTTTCGGTCTACACCCACCGGGTACATCCTAAACAACACCAAACTTTCGGCAGATGGTCTACAACTGTACCAGCAGCAACTCGTATGTCTTCTCTTCGCAGCAGTCACGTGCCGTCCCGACCTTGCTTACGTCGCAAGCTATCTCGCACAATTTTTACGCTGCCCAAAAGAAGAACATCACCTCGATCTTCAGCGCGCTCTACACTACTTTGTCGCAACACCCACAGTCGGGCTGATTTTCAACACAAGAAAACCGACCGACAAAATGTATCTCAGCGGATATGTCGACGCAGACCACGCTGGTGACACGTCAGATCGCCGGTCACGAACAGGCTACATTTTCCGTCTCGAGCCCATTGGTCCAATCTCATGGAACTCATCGAAACAGGAACTCGTGTCACTTTCCTCGGCTGAAGCAGAATTCATTGCCGCGTGTGCTGCAACTCGAGAAGGACTATACTTACAGGAACTGCTCGACGAAGCGAAGTTCGTCACGCCAAATCAGTTTACGTTGCAGTGCGACAACCAGAGTGCGATTACCATCGCCAACAAACCCGGCTTCGTCAATCGCACGAAACATATTTCACTATGTTACTTCTTCGTCAAGGATGCGATCGACAAGGGGAGAATGCGCCTTGTCTACTGTCCCACTGATGACATGGCAGCTGACTCACTTACCAAGAAGCTGAGACGACAGAAATTCCACCACTGCAACCAGCTCAGCGGAATTTCCGAGACAACCGGATAACTACACCGAACTCCTAGAAGTGAAGGGGAGTGTTGAGATAGTATCGAGACTTAAGCACTTCAAGGAAATTCGTGTAGTACAGTAAAAGTACCGATAGGCTGACGTCAGCAAAGCGCTACGCGCCATAGGATGACGTCAGCACGTAGCTATAGACCTCGCGAAAAGTTACGTACCGTTTCAGAACAAGAAAAGCACAGTACAGTAGGCGAACAGGTACTTTACTCTAGTTATATATTTTGTATGTTTGTCATTTTATAATATATCTGATTTCAGAGACATTGATCCTGAAACGTATCACTACATGGGCTTTTATTAAGTCCAAATAAAGCTTTCATAACAGGCTTTAACTCATATAAGACTTCCGCTACGACAGGAAACTACCATCCTAAGTATTACGATCCTATTCAATCACTTCAAATTCTAACACCAGAAAGGCAAGGCCTGCCTGCCTAGGTATGCGCGCAGAGTACGACATGATGGGCCTACCATTTGTATCAACAGCAGCAGCGCTTGAATCTGCGAATCTGCAACACCTTGACTTGACATCACTTTTGTAATAAGCAGTCATCAATCATCTCAACATCGTGCTATCCTGAACCGCATGATCTAGTAATCTAATTGATTCGCCACCAAACCAACATCCTCCCCACCATCAGTCTCCTTCAACAGCCGAAGAATCTCCCCTCCTCCCTTCACCTTCCTCTCCCCACCGCGCACTGCTTCTGTCAACACACCATCCCCCTCCTCACCCTCACCTGCCTGGCTGTTCCCTGAACCTTCACCTTCCTTCTCTTCCCGCAGCGACAGCCCCCCTGCCTCTTCCACCTTAGGCAGAGCCCCAGGAGACACCCCCAAGCGCGCAGCACCCCCCTCAGCACCACTATCAAACACATCTACTCCTATCACCGCTCTGCTTCGTGCCACACTGCCTACCGAACCACTCGGTGGCATGGCAGTACTAGCGCTGCTGCCCATACCTGCAGGCCAGGGCCCGAACGTCACCCCGCCCGCCATGCCTCCGCGCAGGGAGCTGCCTGGAGTGACGTCCACGCTCAGGCGCCTCATGCGGGCGTCTGCACTTTGCTCTGATCCCACGTCAAAGCTCACCCGCCCTCCCCGCCCTGACGCACTGCCATGCGACCCCTCAACACCACCAGCACCAGCACCAGAACCTTCAACAATGGGTTGCCGTGGGCTCTCAGCAGCAGCGCCTCCAGTGCCAGAGCTCTGTGTGACAAGCTTGCCGCCACCGCCGCCGCCGCCGCCGCCGCTGCCGCTGCGGCCAAAGCCACCGCTGGCAGAGGCAGCGGAGGGGGACCTGAGAGGCAGGATGGAGCGGAAAAAGCCTCCGTGGTGGGACGAGCCATGGTGCGACCCGCCCCGCATGGACCCCCCACCCCCGCCGCCACCATGGTATGACCCCCCCACACGGTGCTCTGTGTGACTGCTCTGTGCACTGGAGGGGGTGTGCTGCTGTGTGTGCGCTGGGGTGGTGTTGGCGTTGTTGGCAGCAGAGTGGCTCGTGGGCAGGTGCAGCGGCAGCAGGTGATGCAGCGTTTCAGAGATTCGGTGCGAAACACCGTGGTGCGAGTGCTGGTGCTGGTGCGAGTGGTGCTGGCCAGAGGTGGAGCCAGAAGAAAAGAACGGCGAGGGGATGTGCAGGGACGTGCCTCCGTGGTACGAGTGGTTGTGATGGTGGTGGTGGTGGTGGTGGTGTGGGTGCGGGAGGAGTGGAACGTGGTGGTGGTGGCGGGTGCGGCGGTGCAAGGTGAGGTCATGCATGGTGGTGTCTGCAACACTGTCCAGCCACTCCCTCTCGAGGTCTGCGGCGGAGACAGGGGCGGCCGTGGTGGCGATGCGCAGGCGCGACTGCGACTGTGCGATGTTGAAGCGCAGTGGTGGTAGTGATGCCACTACTGATGCCATGCGATGGAAGAGCACCTATATGGTTCAGGTGTGTGGGTGGGAGCGAGCAGGGGAGGGTGGGGCACAGAGGCAGGGTGCAGGGCAGCAGACATGAGGTGAGGGTGCGAGTGGGAATGTGACTGCGACTGTGCGATGTTGAAGCGCAGCGGTGGCAGAGATGCCACTACCGATGCCATGCGATGGAAGGAAGGTGGTTTGAGAGCTCTTTGAAACACGTGCACAGAGGGGTGAGGGAGAGAAACAGTTAACTCGAGAGAAGAAAGGTGATGAAATGGACGGGCAGACAACGCCAGGATGCATGCTAGTTGTGAGGTGAGTTGACATGCAGCAGGGAAGGTCACAGGAACGAGTGAAAATAAAGCGGAAACCGAGGGAGGGGAAGGGCAGCACAGCTATGGGTGGATGACGCATGACAGGACGCGGCAGGATGGGGCTTGGCGGGGCGGGGGAGGGGGGCGGAGAGGGAGGGTGGGAAAGAAGGGGGCGGCGAGGGGCAGGCAGGGCAGTACGTGGAAGGCGATGAGGCGTTCGAGGGAGAGGAAGCGGTTTTCACAGATGTCCTCGATGGGCGCCTGCGAGTGCAGCAGGTTGTTCACGTCCCCGCCCAGCGCACTCAGAATGGCCTCTCGGTTCCCCGGGTCCTCCGCGTCCGCTGTGCTGATGTCCCTCATGCCGTGCGCTAGCATGGACAGCTGGGGAGGGGGGGGAGGGGGAGAGAGAGAGGGGGGGAAGGGCGGGTGGGTGGGTTTAGTCGACTCAAAGATTGCATCTGCTGTGCTGATGTCCCTCATGCCGTGCGCTAGCATGGACACTTGGGAGAGGGGAGAGGGGGAGAGAGAGAGGGGGGGTGGGTGGGTTGAGTCGACTCAAAGATTGCATCTGCTGTGCTGATGTCCCTCATGCCGTGCGCTAGCATGGACAGCTGGGGGGGGAGGAGGGAGGTGGGGGAAGAGGGGGTGGGGAGAATGGTGGAGAGAACGGTTGGGAAGAGGGGGAGCATAGGGGGTGGGAGGAGGGGTTGGGTAGAGAGGTTGGGTACAAGGGAGTGGGGTCAAATGGGGGATGATTTGGAGGAGCGAGAGGGTGAAAGGTTGTAGAGTGAGTGGGGTGGGGAAAGATGTGGCAGCAGCTGATCCAGTGCAATGATGGCATGAGTGTATCACATCACATGCACACGAGGAAGCCCAAGAACCACTGCCACCCTAAACTGCTCCCCCACCACCCTTTCTGCCATCCCACCCCTTTCAAACCCCATTCCAGTCGTTTCACCATCCCGCGCACCACCATCGCACTCACCCCGAGCTTTCTGGCTTTCTGCACCGTGCCCTCGTCGCACAGATGCAGCCCCACCACCTGCACGCCACAGCCATAGGGGGCAGGGCAGGGAGGGAAGCAAGCGCGGGTTGATGGTGGAAGGAGAGGGGGTTTCACAGACGCTTGCCAAAGCAGCAGGGAGGGAAGAAGTGTCGAGGTGAGCGACAGATGGGGCACAGCACAGCCAACGGGCGTGCTTGGCAAAGGGAGAGCAGGTGGGATGGGGGGTTGGCGGGGGAGGGTGCTCATGTGGGGCGGTGTGGCGGATGTGAGGTGGTGGCGTGGGGGTATGCGCAGGCATTGATGCAATGGCAGTAGAGAGGCAGGTGTGCTGGCAGGTGTGCTGGCAGGTGTGCTGGCAGGTGTGCTGGTGGGTGTGCTGCAGCGTACCTGAGAGTCAAGTGTCTCAAAGGGGTTCTTGCCGGTTGTTGTGGAGACTACGTGCTCCCTCGTTGCCATGCGTTTCATCTGATGCCCCAACAAGGGGATAGATATGAGGGAGGGAATGGAGGAAAGGAAGGGAAAAGACAAGGTGGCGTATGAATCGACTGTAATGTGCTCCCTCGTTGCCTGCCAGCGCTTCACCTGATGCCCAATGAGGGGAGAAGGCGGCACACATTCGGAGTGGAAAGGGGGGTCTGGAAGAGAGGGGGGCGGGGGGAAGTGGGAGGAGGGGGGTGGGGGGAAGTGGGAGGAGGGGGAGAGGGGGGAGTTATCGAGGAAGGGAAAGCATAATGAGTCACGTCTTAGCATGCATCAGCACCAGCAGTCCTCCAGGAGACAACAACCCACACCGTTCACAAGGCTCCGGTGCATCCCTGCTCTGCCCTGCCCTGCCCTCCCCCTACCCTGCCCTCGCCCTACCCTGCCCTCCCCCTGCACTGCCTTCCCCTCCCCTCAGTTTCCCTGTGCGCACACGCACAGGCTCAAGGTCATCAACACCCAGCCCAGCAGCTTCTCGCCAGGAACTTGGGGCGGTTGCCCGGCCCTGCCCTGCCCGGCCCTGCCCTGCCATGCCACCCCTCCCCTTCCCTGCTCTGCCCTCTACTCTGCCCTCCCGCTTCCCCCCTCCCCTCTTCCCCCATCTGCCAGGGCACGCACGGGCTCAAGGTCGTCGACGCCCAGCAGCTTCTCGCACAGGAACTTGGGGCGGTTGGACGGCAGCACCACGTGCCGCTTCACCAGCGACCGCGCGTGGTACGGGTTGTGCCCTGGAAGCAGGGGGGGCGAGGGGGGGATAAGAAGGCGGGAGCGGGGGGATGGGAAGGAAGGGACGGGGGGGGAAGGAGAGAAGGTGGGGGGGGGGGGGGGGGGGGCGGGAGAGGAAGTGAGGGGTGGGAGGAGAGAAGTGGGGTTGGACGGCAGCACCACGTGCCGCTTCACCAGCGACCGCGCGTGGTACGGGTTGTGCCCTGGAAAGAGTGGGGGGGGCGGAGGGGGACGAAGGAGAGGGAGAGGGGGAGGGGGGATTGGGTGGGCAAGGGTGTGATGAGGTTCAGCGCTGAGATGCTAAAGGAAAGTGGGACGCAAAAAATCTTGTACTTGGGGTGGAATCAAAACAAGGGGTATCGAAGGGCAATCTTATATTCCGACATAAGGCATTTACCCCTCCTCCTCCCTCTCCTCCCCTCTTGCCCCCACTCCGTTCCCCCCCTCCCCCCTCGTCCTCCCCCCTTATACGCACCAACAGTGATGACCTCAGCACCGCACCCCAGGCTGACGATGGTCCGCGCCTGCAGCAGCGCCATGAGCACCCAGCTCTCACACCGCGACTGCGAGCACAACCTCCCATCCGGGCGCCCAAACGCCAGCAGCGTGCCGCGGCACACTCTGTGCGTAAACCGATGCACGAGGTGATCTATGGGGCTCGCTCCGTGCACGTCCAGCCCAGCCACCCAGTAGCTGAGAGCGAAGAGCTTGGATACGTAGACTTCGAGGGACTGGTGCACCCACGGCACGTCTGCTATGACAACTGTGCGCTTGCCGAGGCGGGCTAGGAGGTCGCGGCCGGTGAGGATGCGGAGAGGGAGGGCGATGATGAGCGGGAGGAAGCAGAAGAGGAGGGCGTCGAGTGCGCGCGCTGTGTAGAGTAGCGCGTCTGCTGCTGTGGTGCCTGGGGAAGGAGGGGAGATTGGAGGGAAGGGTGGGAGTTCAGAGGCAGAGAGACGAGGAGCGGGAAGAAGCAGAAGAGGAGGGCGTCCAATGCGCGCGGTGTGTAGAGTAGCGCGTTTGCTGCTGTGGTGCCTGGGTGGGGGAGAGGGGGGGGAGGTTGAAGTGGGGGGAAGGTTGGGGTGGAGTAAGGTTCAAGGTTGGGATTTGAGAGGAGGCACGAAGTGCATGGAATATGGGGGCACACAGGGTAGATGCGTATGGAACATGTGATCGTCTGGAACAGAATAGAGGAAAGCTCTAGTGCGAAAGCGGGTGCCACACGGGCATGCGTGTGCGTGGGCGTGGGCGTGGGCGTGTGCGTGGGCGTGGGCGTGGGCGTGGGCGTGTTGCGCGTGTTGTGCGTGCGTGCGCGTGCGTGCGTGTGTGTGTGCGGTGGCGAGATGGCAGAGGAGACGGACGCGAGTGGTGCGGAGGAAGGGAAGGGAAGGGAGCTGACTGTGAGTGGGGATGGCCTTGGCGATGGAGGTGAAGATGGGCACGGCGAACACCACAGCTATGAAGATGTAGAGCGAGCTGATGGCCCATGCCATGGGCGTCTCCAACACGTGCAGCGCCCACTGCGGGGGGAGAACGAGAGGTGTGGGGGGGAGGGGGGAAAGGGTGGTTGTAGCTAGGTTAGGTGCGTGCTTGGGTTGATGTAGAGCGAGCTGATGGCCCATGCCATGGGCGTCTCCAACACGTGCAGCGCCCACTACCCGAGGGGCGACGGACGGGGGGAGCGAGGAGCGGGGAAGGGATGTTGAAGCTAGGTTATGTGCGTCCTCGGGGGTAGATGTGAAGGGAGATGATGGCGCATGTCGTTGGCGCCTCAAGTCAAGCAAGCCATGCCCACAGGGAACACAGAAGAGGTTGTAGGGGGGGGAGGCAGAGGATACAGTAGCACCACGGGCATTACTGATTCGATTCAGCTGCACGATTATATTATCCATGTACATGCCATGAGTACATCCGCACCATGACCCCCTGCGCCCACCATCCCCCCCTGCGCCCACCATCCCCCCCTGCGCCCACCATCCCCCCCTGCACCCACCATCCCCCCCTGCACCCACCATCACCCCCTGCACCCACCATCCCCCCCTGCACCCACCAGGAGCCCCTGAGTCCGGAGAGCGGAGTTAACCGGGGAGTGCACGCGGTGACCTCTTGGCGTCCACCCAACAATGTCAGGAGCGCTCTTCATCACCACGGCATCGCGCATGCGCTCCAAGTCCGCCACATCCCCCCCGCTCAACCGCAGCCCCAGCGGCCGCTCCACCCACCGCCGCGCCACCCCATCACTCCCCCCTCCCGCGCCTCCCCCGCCGCCCGCGGTTCCCCCTGCGCCCCCGCCTGCGCCCACGCCGGTGGCGGTCTGTGCGCCGAGCTCAGTGGCAAGCTTGGCGGAATCCGCGTTGCTTCTGAGAGTGCGTGCAGCATGCAGTAACAGCTCTGTGAGGGTCGCATGGCACGCCACTGCTGACACCGTTGCCGGCTCAGCAGACCGCCACCCTGCATGCGTGTGCAACACACGCGCGCACCACGCGCCATCGCTGCCCGCAGCAGAAGCAGCGGCAAGAGACAGACCCACAGCCGTGGCCATTTTGCAGTCGAGCATGCCGGTGCAGACGAAGACTCGGCCGGGGCAGTGCTTGGCGAGGATGCGCGTGGCGTGCAGCGTGGGGAAGGTCTGCCCCGACTGGCTGAGCGCGAGGACTATGGCCTGGCGCGCGGGGAGGGCTGCGCCCAGGCGTGAGAGCGCGAAGCCTGCTGTGCTGATGGCGCCGCGTGCGTTGCCCATGACACCGATCACCTTGTTGGCGCTCACTGCCACCACTCGCAGCTGTGGGAAGCCTGCGGGGTGGGGCGGTGGGGGGAGACGAGAAGGGAAAGGGGAAAGGGAGAGATGGAGGTGGAGGGAAAGAAGGGACGGATGGGAAGTAGGGAGGAAGGGATGAAGGGAGGAGGGGGGTGGTGGTGAGGTTGTGGGACTGCAGGTACATACATGCATCGGACTTGGTGGTTGTGAGTCATGGCTATGGACTTGGTGGTTGTGAGTCATGGCTATGGACTTGGTGGTTGTGAGTCATGGCTATGGACTTGGTGGTTGTGAGTCATGGCTATGGACTTGGTGGTTGTGAGTCATGGCTATGGACTTGATGGTTGTGAGTCATGGCTATGGACTTGATGGTTGTGAGTCATGGCTATGGACTTGATGGTTGTGAGTCATGGCTATGGACTTGATGGTTGTGAGTCATGGCTATGGACTTGATGGTTGTGAGTCATGGCTATGGACTTGGTGGTTGTGAGTCATGGCTATGGACTTGGTGGTTGTGAGTCATGGCTATGGACTTGGTGGTTGTGAGTCATGGCTATGGACTTGGTGGTTGTGAGTCATGGCTATGGACTTGATGGTCGTGAGTCATGGCTATGGACTTGATGGTTGTGAGTCATGGCTATGGACTTGATGGTTGTGAGTCATGGCTATGGACTTGATGGTTGTGAGTCATGGCTATGGACTTGATGGTTGTGAGTCATGGCTATGGACTTGATGGTTGTGAGTCATGGCTATGGACTTGATGGTTGTGAGTCATGGCTATGGACTTGATGGTTGTGAGTCATGGCTATGGACTTGGTGGTTGTGAGTCATGGCTATGGACTTGATGGTCGTGAGTCATAGCTATGGACTTGGTGGTTGTGAGTCATGGCTATGGACTTGATGGTTGTGAGTCATGGCTATGGACTTGATGGTTGTGAGTCATGGCTATGGACTTGATGGTTGTGAGTCATGGTTATGGATTTGATGGTTGTGAGTCATGGCTATGGACTTGATGGTTGTGAGTCATGGCTATGGACTTGATGGTTGTGAGTCATGGCTATGGACTTGATGGTTGTGAGTCATGGCTATGGACTTGATGGTTGTGAGTCATGGCTATGGACTTGATGGTTGTGAGTCATGGCTATGGACTTGATGGTTGTGAGTCATGGTTATGGATTTGATGGTTGTGAGTCATGGCTATGGACTTGATGGTTGTGAGTCATGGCTATGGACTTGATGGTTGTGAGTCATGGCTATGGACTTGATGGTTGTGAGTCATGGCTATGGACTTGATGGTTGTGAGTCATGGCTATGGACTTGGTGGTTGTGAGTCATGGCTATGGACTTGATGGTCGTGAGTCATAGCTATGGACTTGGTGGTTGTGAGTCATGGCTATGGACTTGATGGTTGTGAGTCATGGCTATGGACTTGATGGTTGTGAGTCATGGCTATGGACTTGATGGTTGTGAGTCATGGCTATGGACTTGATGGTTGTGAGTCATGGCTATGGACTTGGTGGTTGTGAGTCATGGCTATGGACTTGATGGTCGTGAGTCATAGCTATGGACTTGGTGGTTGTGAGTCATGGCTATGGACTTGATGGTTGTGAGTCATGGCTATGGACTTGATGGTTGTGAGTCATGGCTATGGACTTGATGGTTGTGAGTCATGGTTATGGATTTGATGGTTGTGAGTCATGGCTATGGACTTGATGGTTGTGAGTCATGGCTATGGACTTGATGGTTGTGAGTCATGGCTATGGACTTGATGGTTGTGAGTCATGGCTATGGACTTGGTGGTTGTGAGTCATGGCTATGGACTTGGTGGTTGTGAGTCATGGCTATGGACTTGGTGGTTGTGAGTCATGGCTATGGACTTGGTGGTTGTGAGTCATGGCTATGGACTTGATGGTTGTGAGTCATGGCTATGGACTTGATGGTTGTGAGTCATGGCTATGGACTTGATGGTTGTGAGTCATGGCTATGGACTTGATGGTTGTGAGTCATGGCTATGGACTTGATGGTTGTGAGTCATGGCTATGGACTTGATGGTTGTGAGTCATGGCTATGGACTTGATGGTTGTGAGTCATGGCTATGGACTTGGTGGTTGTGAGTCATGGCTATGGACTTGGTGGTTGTGAGTCATGGCTATGGACTTGGTGGTTGTGAGTCATGGCTATGGACTTGGTGGTTGTGAGTCATGGCTATGGACTTGGTGGTTGTGAGTCATGGCTATGGACTTGGTGGTTGTGAGTCATGGCTATGGACTTGATGGTTGTGAGTCATGGCTATGGACTTGATGGTTGTGAGTCATGGCTATGGACTTGATGGTTGTGAGTCATGGCTATGGACTTGATGGTTGTGAGTCATGGCTATGGACTTGATGGTTGTGAGTCATGGCTATGGACTTGGTGGTTGTGAGTCATGGCTATGGACTTGATGGTTGTGAGTCATAGCTATGGACTTGGTGGTTGTGAGTCATGGCTATGGACTTGGTGGTTGTGAGTCATGGCTATGGACTTGATGGTTGTGAGTCATGGCTATGGACTTGATGGTTGTGAGTCATGGCTATGGACTTGATGGTTGTGAGTCATGGCTATGGACTTGATGGTTGTGAGTCATGGCTATGGACTTGATGGTTGTGAGTCATGGCTATGGACTTGGTGGTTGTGAGTCATGGCTATGGACTTGGTGGTTGTGAGTCATGGCTATGGACTTGGTGGTTGTGAGTCATGGCTATGGACTTGGTGGTTGTGAGTCATGGCTATGGACTTGATGGTCGTGAGTCATGGCTATGGACTTGATGGTTGTGAGTCATGGCTATGGACTTGATGGTTGTGAGTCATGGCTATGGACTTGATGGTTGTGAGTCATGGCTATGGACTTGATGGTTGTGAGTCATGGCTATGGACTTGATGGTTGTGAGTCATGGCTATGGACTTGATGGTTGTGAGTCATAGCTATGGACTTGGTGGTTGTGAGTCATGGCTATGGACTTGGTGGTTGTGAGTCATGGCTATGGACTTGGTGGTTGTGAGTCATGGCTATGGACTTGATGGTTGTGAGTCATGGCTATGGACTTGATGGTTGTGAGTCATGGCTATGGACTTGATGGTTGTGAGTCATGGCTATGGACTTGATGGTTGTGAGTCATGGCTATGGACTTGATGGTTGTGAGTCATGGCTATGGACTTGGTGGTTGTGAGTCATGGCTATGGACTTGGTGGTTGTGAGTCATGGCTATGGACTTGGTGGTTGTGAGTCATGGCTATGGACTTGGTGGTTGTGAGTCATGGCTATGGACTTGATGGTCGTGAGTCATGGCTATGGACTTGATGGTTGTGAGTCATGGCTATGGACTTGATGGTTGTGAGTCATGGCTATGGACTTGATGGTTGTGAGTCATGGCTATGGACTTGATGGTTGTGAGTCATGGCTATGGACTTGATGGTTGTGAGTCATGGCTATGGACTTGATGGTTGTGAGTCATGGCTATGGACTTGATGGTTGTGAGTCATGGCTATGGACTTGGTGGTTGTGAGTCATGGCTATGGACTTGATGGTCGTGAGTCATAGCTATGGACTTGGTGGTTGTGAGTCATGGCTATGGACTTGATGGTTGTGAGTCATGGCTATGGACTTGATGGTTGTGAGTCATGGCTATGGACTTGATGGTTGTGAGTCATGGTTATGGATTTGATGGTTGTGAGTCATGGCTATGGACTTGATGGTTGTGAGTCATGGCTATGGACTTGATGGTTGTGAGTCATGGCTATGGACTTGATGGTTGTGAGTCATGGCTATGGACTTGATGGTTGTGAGTCATGGCTATGGACTTGATGGTTGTGAGTCATGGCTATGGACTTGATGGTTGTGAGTCATGGTTATGGATTTGATGGTTGTGAGTCATGGCTATGGACTTGATGGTTGTGAGTCATGGCTATGGACTTGATGGTTGTGAGTCATGGCTATGGACTTGATGGTTGTGAGTCATGGCTATGGACTTGATGGTTGTGAGTCATGGCTATGGACTTGGTGGTTGTGAGTCATGGCTATGGACTTGATGGTCGTGAGTCATAGCTATGGACTTGGTGGTTGTGAGTCATGGCTATGGACTTGATGGTTGTGAGTCATGGCTATGGACTTGATGGTTGTGAGTCATGGCTATGGACTTGATGGTTGTGAGTCATGGCTATGGACTTGATGGTTGTGAGTCATGGCTATGGACTTGGTGGTTGTGAGTCATGGCTATGGACTTGATGGTCGTGAGTCATAGCTATGGACTTGGTGGTTGTGAGTCATGGCTATGGACTTGATGGTTGTGAGTCATGGCTATGGACTTGATGGTTGTGAGTCATGGCTATGGACTTGATGGTTGTGAGTCATGGTTATGGATTTGATGGTTGTGAGTCATGGCTATGGACTTGATGGTTGTGAGTCATGGCTATGGACTTGATGGTTGTGAGTCATGGCTATGGACTTGATGGTTGTGAGTCATGGCTATGGACTTGGTGGTTGTGAGTCATGGCTATGGACTTGGTGGTTGTGAGTCATGGCTATGGACTTGGTGGTTGTGAGTCATGGCTATGGACTTGGTGGTTGTGAGTCATGGCTATGGACTTGATGGTTGTGAGTCATGGCTATGGACTTGATGGTTGTGAGTCATGGCTATGGACTTGATGGTTGTGAGTCATGGCTATGGACTTGATGGTTGTGAGTCATGGCTATGGACTTGATGGTTGTGAGTCATGGCTATGGACTTGATGGTTGTGAGTCATGGCTATGGACTTGATGGTTGTGAGTCATGGCTATGGACTTGGTGGTTGTGAGTCATGGCTATGGACTTGGTGGTTGTGAGTCATGGCTATGGACTTGGTGGTTGTGAGTCATGGCTATGGACTTGGTGGTTGTGAGTCATGGCTATGGACTTGGTGGTTGTGAGTCATGGCTATGGACTTGGTGGTTGTGAGTCATGGCTATGGACTTGATGGTTGTGAGTCATGGCTATGGACTTGATGGTTGTGAGTCATGGCTATGGACTTGATGGTTGTGAGTCATGGCTATGGACTTGATGGTTGTGAGTCATGGCTATGGACTTGATGGTTGTGAGTCATGGCTATGGACTTGGTGGTTGTGAGTCATGGCTATGGACTTGATGGTTGTGAGTCATAGCTATGGACTTGGTGGTTGT